AGATGCACGAGCCCTATTCGGCCTGCGAAGGCTGCTAGGTGGAGCGCCGTTCGGCCGTGTTTGTGCTTGATGTCCACCTGGACGTTGGGTTGTTCTAGAACGCGCTTGACGGTGGAAAAAGTTCCGTAGTGGATAGCATACCACAGGGCGCTCTCCCGCGCTTGATTTTGAATGTTGATGTCTAGGTCTCCACGACTGAGCAAGAGGTCCCGCACAGCAGCGGACGAGTATTTGAGTGCCCTCATGAAAGGAGCTTTGCCGCGGTAAAATGCATTGATGTTGGCGTTGTGCTGGAGCAAAGCCTCCGCAAGACCAACGTTGTCGTATTTGACGGCCAAGTGCAACAGATTGCTGTTCTGAAATTTGATGTTGTATTTCCAGATGCTGGGCTGCAGTTTAAAATCAAAGTCTTTGCATGATTTCGCGAGGGCAAATAATGCACTACCGTCCAAATACGACACAGTCCACAGCAAAAGCTCGTTGGGCAGGTCTCTGATGTTTGGCTGTGATGTATTAGCTCATCGGTAAACTCCGTAAGAACGAATTGAACAAACCATGATTGGACAGCGGATTGAGCAAACGAAATGTAGATGGGGTGAGGTGAGAGTTGTGAAAGTAGGATATGGGAGGCCTTTATATACTCGCCTCAGCCAAATTCCGTGGTCAGCTAGGAGTGTAGTCTGTCACTCCGCTGAGAGGTGCGTAGCAATCACACGGCAGCATCAAAGCCTTGACAAGAATGTTTGGGCGGCGTTGAAGAATCTCTGGAGTCTAGCTCCCGGGAACGCCAAATCACTTCCTGGCTATGTCGATAGCCTGGAAACCGAATCTATCTTGGTACCCACTTTCATCTAGCGCCATAAGAGTAGATCATAACCTATCACGCACTTCCGAATTCCATAGGCAACCCAGAATTTCACCCAGCATATGTCGACTTTGCTGCTCACCGCAGTAGCCAGTCTGTTCGCCACTGCCTGGTCACCGCGATGGACAGTCACAAGTGCAGCTGATTGCAGCAGTGATCTGGAATGATATCCCT